CCTAGTTAGTAAAGAAGGGAGCAAACTGGGTAGAGATGTATATAGGAAACACTCAAATGCGGGTTTCCTTCTTAATTTCTTCTCGAATCATATCTATGGTGTCAAAGGAGAAGTAATGAAATCAATGATATAAGGAGTTTACGCCTAGCGGACGTAATTAACAAAGAGTAGGAGTCGGAAAGGCTGAGAAAAATTTAAGTTGAGAACAATTATCCGTTAGGATTAATTGATAAGACTTTAAAAATTATAAGAAATAGGGTGAAAGTAAACCATTATTTGAGACAAAAAAGGAAATAGACAATTCTTTGTCCAGGCTCCTAATGCTACCATCCTTCATTCTTTAGAGATAGATAGGCGAATTACTGAGGAAAAGGAGCATCAAGAGGACGTATAAGGAAACAACAACGCTTTCCTAGATCATGTCTTCGTTAAGAGAATCTTCAGACTTCTTCAGTAAATCAAGTTGTTATAAGGATTTGTCCTCATGTGGTAGTGTTTATGTGGGGAAGACTTGTCCACCTATATTTAAGAGGCCATCAGAACACAGAATCACCTGCAAAGGTTTATGTATTCGAATATCGGAGGTGGCTGAACATGTGGCCACTACAGGATACAAGATAGAGTGGCCTAAAGCCCAATGCTTTGCCGGATATAGAGACTTGACAGCTAAACGGAAGATCAGATAATTATTAGAAATTAATAAAACAAATAACATCCTGAATAACAGGAAAAAATGTAGGAAACTAAGTAAGAACTATCTCTGGGTGTTAAATAAAAAAAGAGAGAAGAAATGAGAACAGGAAGAGCCCGAATAAGAGAAGGCTAGACTATACTGGAGTCTGCTTTTGCACCTAAAATTTCCAACAAACCTTTGGTTGTTGCATACACACATGAACGCGCATCCACGAAGCTCTAACATGGCCCAGGGTTACAGGATCATACGCTAGTTTACTTACATAGAGAAAAGTTGTGACCACATCCGTACCCATTCCTGCATCACTTTGACCCGCTTACATACATACAGGACAAGCATAAAGCAGCCAACCAAATCATGGAAGGCCTCGATAAGATCGCAAAGTGAGGTATAAGAAGTAAGTAGGATCTCAGCTGGCCATATTTCTCGGTTTAGTGTTTTTGGCGATATATTCGTGAATAATGGTTCTGGCCTTGACGATATCCGTGAAATGACGGACGAAAGCTCAGCACGAAGTCATCGAGATCGTAGGACGGTGAGCCGAGGTCTTCTTCGCACAACTCAACAAACAAAAGTCCAAGGCAATCCTCCTTCGGTATCAAGTTAGGCCAATCTACGAAACCCTTCCACCCACTTTCTTGACTTAGTGTTGACTTGAGACTTTTTCATGAATGAGTTCCAGCTGAAATGATGTTCTTATATGACGAACAAGAGTTCAACTTTTTTCCTCCAGAAACAAGGGAGGATATCTCGTTGACTGTATCAGCCTCAACTTCGTGTTAAGGAAAAATGGCTGCAATACAACGTTAATTAACAGTCGTCTTCTGGCGATATCGACCTTATAATCTCTGCTTCATGCACTTCCATACGAACGGAAAGTCTCCCCAACAATAAATCAACGGTGTTGTTTTTAGGCACGCTGAAAAATAAATATTGCTAAAAAATTAAGCTAATAGACAAAAGGAAAAAGTATTGAGTTTTTTAAACATGAAGACAAAGCTTACGATGATACGAACAATTTAAGCATGTTAGGATGATACAACACTTATATGATTCATTTGAATAGGCCAAAAAAGGAGGAAAGGAACAAGGATCGGTTAAAAAACGGGTTACTCACATCAGACCCATTCTTGCCAGAATCCAAATCGTCCTAGAACCAGAAAAGAATTTAAATTAGAAGAAACTAGGAAAAAGTACGATCAAAAGCTATTTTTATAGTCTAAAAGCAAGCTGTGTAAAGTAGGGCGAGTTTGCCTATTGATGCCACTTAGGCCCTCGCTAAGGTAATTTTGCTTAGAACAGGGTTATTATGGAAAAGGGACCTGAAACGGGGTTAAGATGTACTTTATATAAAAATAAGCCACAAGCAAAATAAACAGACACTCTTAGGCCGGCATAATTTAATTGTTGGGCTCATTTACATTTCGAATGATAGATGTTTGGTGGAGAGATTAGAAGGCCGATCCCACCAAAAGACGACAGCAGATCTCTATTGACCAGCTGTTAATTGGATTTAAGAGAACATCCTGCTTCCGAGGTAATTGCCTTTGAATCCGGTAAAAACGTACTAAGCTTTGTTACTCATATGATGAACAACTTCATAGAAGGGCTTCATTCTTAAAACCATATTCAAACTAACTAGTAAAAACTCACTTTATCTGAAAGTAAGTAATCAAAAATAATAAATCACAAAATTCCAAGACGACAAACTTTTCTTCGTATATGCAACATAACTTAAGCCATTTTTTCATCACAGCTTAAGTCAAACTCAACGATCAAATAGTAGAGATCAATCGTGAACCCGGTGCCTCTGGAATAGTCGGAATCCTTGCAGAAATAGTTTTAAGCGCAATCCAAAGTGGTGACTGTCAAAGAACCAACTGAATATGAGGCGGAAATGAAGTTGTTTCAGTCGAAATAGTGAAAATTTTCGGTGTAAATAGCCTTCAAAATTATCCCTATTTCTTAATAGGAACTTAGCCTAGTTGGCTTAAAATGATCTAATGAATGATAGTTGAATTTTCACACAATGAGATGAGTAGCCATCATGATGCCAGAAAATTGGACTTACTATTGCCTCCCATCTTACCCAGGATGGAGTGCAATTTCGACCTCACCCAGGTCTAATCAGCACCACCAAAAGGAATTCGAGACAGGGTTGTGAGTATCATGGCGACACTGCCAATCCACTACACGATCACGGATGTCAGACGATCAAAAGGCAAATGTGACATTCAAGGCAAGTCAGGCATCACCAAAATCACAATTATATTGGGATTGGCGATTAAGTAAACATTTTTTTGCTTTTGTAATCAACGAGGCTACTTATTTTCAATAAATATGGTTATGGAAAAACTTGATTATTAGTCCTTAATTCACCTTATGTAAATAAGCCCATATTCACGAATTAGTAATAGTTTCTAAGGCTACTTAAACCGAAAATAAGTAACAATGCCGAATGAAATAAAAAACACATGCTTGTATAACCTATATTCAAAATATAAATGCGATTTAGGTGAGACATGACTTTTCTTTACCCTCCCATTTACCTGCGAGCTACTGACCTACGGATGGCACCCATGGCTACGTAGTGGAGTAGTAAAATCAACATTATACCTACAACCCGGGTTCCAATTCCGTTTGGTTTATTGATGGGACCTATGCGAGGTCGAAACCGCAGTCCAGCCTGGATGAGATAACTTTATGAAGGTAAGGCTAGGTGAAGTCTAATGGCATCTTGAAGCCTACTTATGTAGACTGAGTAAGTTCTTATTTAGGTGGTGAAAACTTACTCCACTGCCCTGGGCACGCTTAGAGTAATCTATGTTTGGCGAAAGCCAGTTAGCATTGTTGTGGCCAGTTGCTAAGGTCGAATGGAGCCCCAAAGAGTCTGCATCTATTGAAGGAGAAAGGGAGGAAAAAAAGATGCGGGAGAAAGAAAAAACACAAGAAACTATCGTTTAGCGCATCGGTACTAGAATGAATATAACGCCGTTTATAGGCTGTGAGTAGTGTGAATAAAATGCAAATCATAACAGATAAAAATACTGATAATAAATCAAATGAAAAAGATAGTGTTAGTAGCAGATGAAGAAACTATTGGTGGTTTTAAAACGATAATACTTTTCTTCAACAACAAAATTAAGGCAATGGTAATCAAAAAATGGGGAGATAAAAAGGTAGGTAAAACAAAGGAAATAAACATACCAGACTCCTCTTCAGGTGCTGGAGTAACACCGATAACGACAGAGTCACCGCTACTTCGACACGTTGACATCGCGAAGTCTGGCCCAAATCCAGAGGATTCAAAGAATCCCGACTTCCACAAAGACACAGGCTGTGTTGTGGTACCTGCCTTCATGGTAGCTGCCATTGTAACGGGACCATTTGTCGGTGCAGGAGTTTCTGTGGACAAGTGATTAAGGCCGGTGGGCAAGTCACGATTTAAAGAGTTGCCTCGCCCCGGACTGGCTGTGCCGGACTGACAGGGGGTCGGACTGGTGTTGATCGACTGAACCGTGTCCACTGCAAGTAGTCGAAATGCCCCATCCCCTGTCCTGTCCACTCCAGTAGTAGAAAAATCCACCTCTCTGGAAAAGAGGAACATCACAAGTCAAAGAGATCCATTAGGCATTCCCAAATACTGCAGGGAATAGATACGCTAAGAGATCCAACAGAGGTACTTAAGATTAGGTTGAAGGATGCCCCTGAGGTGTGCGTAAGTAATGGTGGAATGGAGAAAAGAAATCAAATCTATTTGGGTAGATATTAAGGCTCAGGATGACCAATTCGAGTTTTTGACTGTAAAAGGAGTTAACACCGTTTTAGTCCAAGAAAGGTAAGCAATAAATACTGGGTTAGTAGGATAGTTTAGCACAGAAATTTATGGAATGCGCTGAACCGAAAATGTTAGTCACAGCATTTGCTAACACGATGAAAGAAAGAGAGGATAGACAATTTTCTTAGACGATCTACTCCTGACCATATAAGTGTTGGCTGACTGAGACCAAACAGAAGGCCACACTATCTTGGTCTACATATCTACGATTGAGCATATAAGGTTTAAGTAATGATGAGAATAGCAAAAGCGATATAACGAGATAAGAATTCATGAATGTGGGATGGATACTATGCCCTGAAAGAATGTGATATTAGTTATTAATTTGACTGAGTTGATTTGCATGGTAAGATAATCCGGTTATTAAGATGCATTTAGAATGAATCTATCATAAAAATGCTGGGATGGGCGGTAATTTAGTATGTCCCAGTAAAGTGAAGCGTTCAAAAAAACATATTCATACTGAGTATATTTCGATAGCGATCTAGCTTAAGAACTGCAATCACTCTATCACATAAGATGATAAAAG